ATGATATGAACTCGAGTCTCAGGATCAGTGGTTAGGGTGCGTATATTGCCAGGGATGTGTAGCTAGATATAGTGTAGTTGTGTACCCTGGTAGGTCTAGGTACTCATGCCCACTATATGTGCGTTTTGCGTGTTACCTACTATTCAGGTTGAGACAACCTTATAGTCTAGTGAGGTTCCTTTAGTGTGTGTGTATATATATATATATATACGGACTACTAGTTACTGTTGGATTGACTAGGATGTATACGTGTATCGGATCTCTGCTTGGATTGTAGTAGAGTAGAACTTGTTTGTGAGCCTGACCCACCATTATTTTTCAGGTGTTCGTCAGGAGTAGAAGTTATTCGTGTTGAGCGATGATCAATCTACTTCATTCTTCCGATGCTACATAGGAGTTCCTTTATGATTCAGTTTCCTGATTTAAACAGTTATTGCTGTCATTTGTTTAGTTTAGATTTTCTAAGGGTCCACGCAGTATGGATTCCCGAGTTGTATTTTGGAGGATCAGTTGTATGAAAAGAGTTTATTAACTAATGGAAATATATTCTGAGGTTTATTATTAGATTATCATTTTAGTTTCTTGTCAGCATTTTATTTATTCTTCTTTATTCTTTTGTACTCTGTGTTCGTTTATCATCAATTTGTTTTGATATCCTTGGGTATTCGGGCGTGGGCCTGGCCAACCCGCATTCGGAAATCCGGGGGGGTATCACAGTTGGTATCCTTAGGAGTGTCTTTCGTTATGTGACTTCCGCGTTGCGTCTCTTAAAACTTAGAGCCCATATTAGGATTCGTTGTACTTTATTTACGGTTTGTTAGGAGGAACTGATGTTAATTATATTCTGTAGTCATAGAATGGTTGGCACTAGAAAAATGATGGGTTCAAAGCGAAAGCAATAAAGACCCAAAGGAGTAGAGGAGTATGTTATCGATTTCGTTGCCAGAAGGCAGAGTTAAGGATTGACGGTTTAGGTTCGTTTAGCGTTACTTTAAAAGTGTAAGCCAAGGAAGCAAGCTCGTGCTAGGACGAACTAGGTTTTTTTCAGTACGGGCTCATATGAAATTTTTTTGTTTCGACGTAAAACATTTTTTAATATTTTTATTTTTCAAGTAAAATATTTTTTTATTTTTATTTTTTAGGTGTTTCTCAAAAGTCTACGTCAAGTTTGAAGTCGAGTCCATTGGTACATGTAATTTGTCTAAAATTGATTGATAAGTTATTTTTGTTAAAATTTAATATTTTTTTCTTCGTAAATATTTTACGACAACTTAACATCAAAAAATAAAAAATATATATATATTTTCTGAAAAATATCTTACGTCCAAACAAACGGGGACTAAATTGTAAAATAGATAACCATTGTATCTATCTAAGAATTTGGATTATTTTAGTACATTTAGTGCCAGTTTAGTGATGCAGAAATTTGGCAAAATTGCTTGGAAACACTAGATAATTAAGGTGGCTGCCAAAGGCCCCTAATGAAAGAAGAGGTCTAGTAAAAGTGATCTCATTATAAAACTTAAATATATATTTTTTATGTATTTAATTATGTTTGAATTCTTTTACATATCCATGCTTGCTTAAAATTAAATTTTTTTGAGAAAGTACACAATGATCTCATTATAAATTTTATGTAAAAGCAATCTTGTTATAAATTTTTTGAAATTAGTTATATCTTGGTTACCGAAGATGTTTCTATTTTGTAATAAATCACAACACAACAAAAACATTATTATTATGCATGGAAGTATCGAATCGACGGCTTGAATTTGGGATTGGAGAAAATTTAATTTTATATTTGTACTTAGAGTTTGGTCAGTTACATAAAATTACAGCGTTGAAATTGAAATTGAAATTGAAGAAAAATGTTTCATAATAAAATCCAAACAATCAAAAGTGATTGGCCAATTATGAGAAACATCACTTAAAATGACATATACGTCGAACTAAAATTTTAAATGATAAAAATATCACTTGCAAAAAATATTATTTTTAATTACCATTTAAAAACTTCAGCATTTAAAATTTAGCTCTTAAAATTTTCAATGTTTAATTTTTAATTTTATCAAATAGCATCTTAATTTATCATCTCAGAATTTTCGGTCTATTAACTCGCACATCCTAACATTGCTCTAAGTTTGAACATAAAAAGTAGGGTTAATTTCAGTGACCACCCCTGAGGTTTGGAAAAATCTCACATAAAAATAGATTTCGAAAATAAATATCACTTGGACCCCAAATCACCTTTTTATTGTTAAAATACTGTAAAATGACAACTTTACACTCATTTTTTAAATCCATTTTAATCCAAAATATCAACAAATTTAAAAGACAATATGGCCCTCATTAATAAGCACTCTCTCTTAATAAGTCTTATGGATATATGTAGTATGTAATTTTTTATTTTTTATTCTTTTTATTTAAATTATAATATCTTTTTTTACACTGCGCCCCCTCTAAATTAAAATTCTAGCCCTGCCCCTGAGTAATGATTACCATAGTCTAGCACGCGCAACATAAAATAAAAATTACACCAGTTAAGAAAGTAATTGGGTCCGTATAGAGAGTAATTCAAGGCCTCTCATTATTTTGTTATTGGGTATTTGAAGGTATCAAGTTATGGCCTTGAATTACTCTCTATACGGACCCAATTACTTTCTTAACTGGTGTAATTTTTATTTCATGTTGCGCGTGCTAGACTATGGTAATCATTACTCAGGGGCAGAGCTAGAATTTTAATTTAGAGGGGGCGCAGTGTAAATTTTTTTTTTTATAATTTAAATAAAAAGAAACAAAAAATAAAAAATTACATACTATATATATCATTCTTAAGTGCAAAAAGAAGAATGTTAAGAAGTAGAGGGTCAAAAATAATAATAAGAAGAAGAAAAAGGGAAGAAAAATGAGAAATTTGAAAGGAAAAAAAAAAATTATTGTTCAACTAAAGAAGGAAAATTTTAACTTTTTTTTTTTAAGGAAATCAAGAGAATATTAAGAGTAAAAGAAAAAGGAAAGAAAAATTTAGAAGACAATTTTAGAAATTTAAAATTTTAGGGGGGACATTATATAAAAAATTTCTTATAAATGTACAAATTAGAATAAAAATTACTATATTGTATAGTGGACGGGCCAGGCAGGAGGGGCATGTGCCCCCTCTAGGCACACACTAGCGTCATTACTTGCTTCGTGGGAGAGTGACCAGTTTTTTTTTTCAATTTTTATTTTTACCTTCTTCTTCCCTAATACTGATATATAAAAATAAAAAAAAAAAATTAAAAATATATATATATATATATCAATTTTTATTTTTTTTTCAAGCTTTTGTGCATTTGATGTAAATCAACATTACAAATCAATGTAGTTGTTTTCAAAGATTATGTTATATTTTATTTTATTTTTATTAAACCTAGAGATATATCAGTGTAAATTTAACATAATGACACATTTGAAAACACTCCGAAAATACTTGGGAAAATTTGATAGGATTTTCTACCAATTTGATGTAAATCAACATGACAAATCAATGTAGTCATTCTCAAAGATTATGTAATCAGGCCAGGAGGGACATGTGCCCCTCTGGACACACACTGACTCCCCCTGTCATTACTTGCTTTGTGAAAGAGTAACCAAATTTATTTTTTTTCAATTTTTTTTTTTTACCTTCTTCTTTCCTGATACTGATATATAAACACACATCTATTCTGTGTATTTTATTTTTTATTTCTAAATTATATTGGGGTCTGTGTTCTTTTTTGGTCTAGGTGTGAAATAAACTGTTTTTGATGTGTGTATATGGGTGTGTGACTGGTGATGGTGGTGGGTGATGAGTGGTTCTTCAGAAAGAAATTTGTGTTGTTGTTGTTAAAATTTTCAGTAAAGTAATAGGTATTTTGGTCACTTAACATAAGTCTTACGGATAGTTAAATCATTTTACACATGAAATAATAATTTATAAGTCAACAAAAGTCATAAGGGTAAAAATATCATTCTATATGCAAAATTGCTTTGACACCATTGAAAAGTAAAATTTGGGGTGTAAATGAAAAACAAACCAAACATTTGTAATGTGAGTGATAATTATTTTCAAAAGGTATTTTCACGTGAAATTTATCCAAAACTCAGGGGCGGTCACTGAAATTAACCTTAAAAAGTATTTTAAAATTTTCTTGAGCTAATCCTAATTTAGAAATTCTCTTAAAAGCAAAAATTGTATCAAGGCGGGTCCTAACCGGTACCTAAATGAAAATTTTCATGGTAGTATTGTGCATTTTGTAATGAATTGATCCCGACCAATTACAATTTAACATACAATTAATTATGTAAATTTTTAATTGCATGACAAGTTATGGCCCCGGAGAATATATAATCGAAGTAACAACTGCATACAGAAGAAAACTTTACAATTTGTGCTTTTGAGCTGCATAGGAGTACAAATACAAAACTTTTTATCTGTCAAAAAATTGATCTTCCGTAGAAAAAAAATTACATGATTTTCAGTGGAAGATAGAAAAGCAAGTGAGGAATTGATATTTTAGAATCAAAATCAAAATGGTTGGATTGTCAAAATCATGTGTTTTTATTTAACAGATCATATTTTAAATAGTAAAGTTTATGGACGATATGATATTTTAACCCAAGTTGATAATCCGACAACTTCAATTATTATCATCCTGACTTAGGGTACACACTGAACAGGACATATGGCCGACAATGCAAGTTGATAACGAACTCTTTCAAAAAGTTTCAGTCATATTTATGGGTTATTTTTTACGAGTTATATTTTTTTAACGTTTTATTATAATATTTTAGGTAAAAATTGAAATCATATTTGGTAACAAAAATTTATTTTTGTTCCACCAGTAAAGTACTATTCGATAGAGTACCAAAACACACAATATCATAATGATACGAGTTTTGACTACAAAAAATTGATTTGTTATGAACTATTCCAAACAAATCTTGATATCAAAAAAGATATGGACCTATTAACAGGCTCACGATGTTCATATATCATCGACAAAATAACTACATCCAGATCTATTATCATGATATCTCTTTTTGTTGAATAAATTATATCATGATCTGTTATCGATATCAAAATATCAGCCGTCCCATAATATGATGTGAACCCAAATTTGAATACAAATATCAAAAATACAATATTATAACACTTCCCAAACAGATCCTTAAGTACAGTGATTCAGTTTCATCTCAAATTATATGGTGTGGATAAAAAAATGAATAAATGTTAAAATCTACAAAATAAAATAAAGTATAAATTACACTCTTTTCTAAAGTTTTATCAATATATACGAACTTTTCTTTTTGTTTGTCAAATTACACCGACCTCCCTTGCCAGACTCGTCGGATTTGTAATTACGTCCTTATAAATATTATATTTTATTGTTAAAAAGTGACAACTATGTGTTATTTACATACAAATCTCAAGGAAGTAAATGTAATTTGACGTCTTTATAAATATTATATTTTATTGTTAAAAAATAAGAACTATGTGTTATTTACGTACAAATCTCAAGGAAGTAAATGTAATTTGACTAAACCTAGAGATTCATCGGTGTAAATTTAACATAATGACACATTTGAAAACACTAGGAAAAAGTACATGGGAAAATTTGATAGGATTTTCTACCGACTTGATGTGAATCAACATGACAAATCAATGTAGTCGTTCTCAAAGATTATCATAAGACCTCTTTTCAAAGATTAGAACTTTCAACTATCTTTTCAACATTATTTTTACAAAACTTGGTATGGGGCCAAAAAAAAAAAAAATTAGGTACAACAAACTCATGCATTAATCAACAAATGTTCATTAGTTAGTGGGATTGTTGTTAATCAAGAAGATTAAATAAATACACATGTAATTTTTTTAGTATTGTGTATAATTTAGTCTTTAAATTGTAAGGGCTTGTTTGTCAATTACTTTTGTTTCATGCATGTTTTTAGTAACTTTTGTTATATTTTGCACAAACCGCAAAACAAGGTGCAAATTTGGAAGCAACAAAATGTCTTCACTTGTTTTTGTTATTGTAACTCAACAATTGTAATGAAAATTTATTTTAAAATGTAAATACCTTTTTTTCTTTTTACTTTTTTTTTTTTTTTACACTCACCCAACATTTTATTTTTCAATTTTTTTGCTTTGAAACTTTGTGCAACGAAATTGGTTACCAAAAATGTTTCTATTTGGTAATAATTCACAACACAACAAAAACATTATTGTTATGTTTTGGAGCACCAAATGGATGGCTTGAATTTGGGATTGAAAAAAATTTAGTTCAAAGTTTGTACTACATTTCCTCTTATCTCAAATCCATATCACCGATTCAGTGCTCTCAAATACGACATAATCAGTCATGACTCATGCGTTACTCTTCTTACAAAACTATATAATTTTTTTTTTCCTTTGTTGGTAAACACACATGCCTCCACTGAGGCTTGAACCCTCAACCTCCCTTTCGGAAACAAGAGCCTAATACCAACAGGTCAGGGGCCAGCGGTATCAAGCCCCTATTTTTCAAAGGGAGGTTAAGGATTCAAGCCCCGGTGGAGGCATAAATGTGTGATTTCCAATTAAGAAAAAAAGTAAAGGTCTGATACCGCTAAGCACTGACCCGTTGGTTATAAAACTATATAATTAGATACAATAAACTCTTGAACTATAATCTAAAATTTTAATTTGGTCAATTCAATGCAGTCGTTCTCAAAGATTATCTCAAAAACTCTTTTCAAAGATTAGAACTTTCAATTATGTTTTCAACATTATTTTTACAAAACTTGGGATAGGGCCGAAAACAAAAACAAACAAAAAAAAAAATTAGATTCATCAAACTCATGCATTCATCTACAAATGTTCATTAGTTAGTGGGATTTTTGTTAATCAAGAAGAATAAATACAAGTGTAATTTTTAGTATTGTGTATAATATAGTCTTTAAATTCTAGGGGCTTGTTTGTCAATTGCTTTTGTTTCATGCATGTTTTAGTAACTTCTGTTATGTTTTGCACAAACCGCAAAAGAAGGTGCAAATTTGGAAGCAACAAAATGTCTTCCCTTGTTTTTGTTATTGTAACTCAACAATTGTAATGAAATTTTATTTTTTAAAATGTAAATACCTTTTTTTAACATTTTATTTTTCAATTTTTTTTGCTTTGAAACATTATGCAACGAAATTGGTTACCGAACATGTTTCCATTTGGTAATAAAATCACAACACAACAAAAACATTACCGTTTGGGAGCACCGAATCGATGGCTTGAATTTGGGATTGGAAGAAATTTAGTTCAAAATTTGTACTACATTTTCTTTGATCTCAAATCCATAACACCGATTCAGTGCTCCCAAACACAACATAATCAGTCATGCGTTCCTCTTCTTCCAAAACTATATAATTAGATACAATAAACTCTTGAACTATAATCTAAAATTTTAATCTTGTCAATTCAAAATGGTGATTGACCATGACATACTTAGGCTTAGTGGACCTGTTTGGATTGATTGAAAGTCTGCTGGTGAATGAAAGATGGAGGGGTTAGATAGTCACATGATTTTGTTTCTAGATGAAGAAGAAAATTAGGTGTTCCAAGTGATATAGCCAAAGACTTGCATGTGATTCACAATGCATTGTATCTTAAATCATAGAAAAATGTGGTAAAGGGATTGAAATATGACCATGATTTAGGGTTCCATTATCCTATTCCTAGAATTTAATGGTTCAGAAAAGTAGTTGCAGACTTTCTATAACGTTGTCCAGCTTTGGTTGTCAACCACCAACGTTAATTTGTCTCAACTAAAGTTCAAAGGTTGTAGTCCTGTCTCAAGGCAAGTGGATGGAAAGTGTACGGACTAATAAAAGTAATTGAAAAAAAAAAAAAGAAAAAGAAAAAAGTTTGAGTAGGGTATGTTACCTGAACTTGATTATGACCATTTCATCCGATTCCAAATACAAGGCTCGATTTGGTACTACCAAAAACAATACAAGTGTTATGCATATCTAAATATCAGACCATCATGAATTTCAAATCTTACGAAAATGTGTTCAAAAGCTGTACTATGCACTCAAATACATTATTATAGTGTAATATATATGCTCGATTATTATTCTATTTAAATAGGATGCGGTAAAAGGAAAGGGTTATCATCTCTGTTGTTAAATTTGAGTTTTTCTTCTTCCGCTGTCATGTGAAGGACAGGGGAGTGTCCGATTTGGTTTCAAGTATCAGACACATATCACGTACATATTACCCATGTCGTTTAGCATAGTACATGAGTACTTGAAAGAAACTAGGAGAACCCATGTTATGGAGCTCGTAGGGATAGTAAAAATGTCCTCTTTGATTGCATTATTCGGAAGTACATTACCAATCAATAAAAAATTGTTTTTAAAATCAAACATGTATACAACCAATTCACATATCAAAATAATAATAATAATAATAATGTATACAACCAATTCCTGTACGAACTTCAAAGACAGACCGAATTTGACTCGAATACCTGATGGGCACTAATATATAAAAATCTTCCACAATAATATGCTTAGAACAAGTTTTCTAATACCCGATGAGCCCAAATCATTGTTACATTTATCGACCTGAATTTAATTTAATTAATTCCAGATTCTGTTATAGTTATGTATAATCTTTGATATAAAACTAATACTAATACTCTTATCCAAATTCCCAAAATAAGTAGACAGTGATATTTGACTTAATAAAAGAAAATTAATGGTTCCCACATGCCATTAAAAAATAATACATTAACATAGTTTCAAATAAAATAATTGGTAATATCAGACACAAAAAGTTGTGACAAAGACTTGGAAAATGATTAGCCCTTTGCATAATGTATATAAAGGAACATCATTGTAAATGTTTTATTTAATCAACTCCACAAAGTTGACACGATTGTAAGTATTCAACTACAGACTTACAAACATACATATAAATACATGAAATAAAAAATATATATTATGTATATATACATTTGTAATTCATGTTTTGCATGAATGAAACTATCATTTAATGATAGAAAAGTTGAAACAAGGAACTATGAGTTGACTTCATCATCTGTAAGTATTATTAAATTAGTTAGGTAGGGTCAAACAAACTTCTGTGGAATTACAGATGAGTTTCTATTTACACCAATGACGTTATGTGATTGAGTGATAATAATAGTACCTATGCTTGTTTAGCTTGAGCCTCGATCTTCAACGCTTATCAAACATCCCATTGGAGCAGTAAATGACGTCCGCCTGTCCAATAAATATATACATATATACTACCTCTGTCTCATTTTAAATGTCGGCTTCGGGAACCGTGACTCACAAAGCCGACATGTTAAATGGGACAGAGAGAGTATATTATATAAATATATAAGAAGCATTAAACAGGATCAGAAAAAAATACCGTTTCAAGAAGGTCTAAAACTCATTATATGTAATTTTCTTCAATAATCCTATTAACATCATTTTATATTACAAAAAAGTGAAAAACCATTACCTAGTGTTGATATCACCCATGGACAGCGCGGTGTAGTAAAGGAAAAAGTAAAGGCAAAAGCAATATTTGACATTATTATGTACAAAGTGACTTTTGATACTCAAACTCGCATTCTAAAACTTATTAATCAAGTTTTTACCATTATATTGAGCAAGGAAGACAATCGATGGCATGCAATGTTCTTTGAAGCTGCTCAAATTCCATAAGACACTAAAACAGCCCCAAGTTAATTGCCATTTAGTTGAATACTGACTTTTGTGTCAAATCAGGTTGGCATGTATCTTTGCATCTCTTTCTTTTTCCTTTTTTTCCCCTTCTTCCTTCTTAAACAACGTCAAGGTTTGCCCATCTGACTCTGCCTTCTGACAGGTAGGAGTTACCCAATTATCAGAGCTTGGGGGCAGCAAAAGTTTGCTGAGAATAGTAGATAGGGCGAGAACAAAGACACCAAACTTACGTTGAATCACAACCAGAAAGGTATTTTCTTTTTTCGCTCTCTTTTTTTTTTCCCTGGTATCCCATAAAAAAAAAAAACACTAATCACATACTAGTAATAAAAAATTTGTAGGTAAATTGACGGTATCATATTAAATTCCAATTTCACAAGCACTTAAATAAATGTTGTTTACCCTTCAAGACTTGCAGGTACGGAGTTATTTTATAAAAGCTTGACAGGCTAATGGTGAATTTTGCAGACAATCTCTGTCCTGCAAAGCTTTGTATTAAGATGCAGTGAGACACAAGGGGTTATTTACATATATAACCTGTCAAAAATTCATACAACTCCTTGTAAATGTGATACCATTTCATTAGATTTTGATTCTGCAACCTATAGTTTGTCTGATTTATTCTTTCCCTCACTGTCTAGTAATGGACGCAGCAGCAGCAACAAGGATCAGCAATGTCTTTGCATCTTCTAGAGCACAAAGAAAGATGGATGCGGCAAATTTGACCAAACTGGCATGGCCTTCCACCAGACCGGAGAAGCTCGCGCTCCATGCGGGTAGCAGAGGTTTCTGCAGTAGCATTTCAATCCAACAAAGAGGTCTAACAACAAACTCTAGAAGCAGTATACTCTTTCTCACTCGTTGCTCTACAAAGCCTGGAATTGACAGTGACAGCGCAACGAATACAAATCCGGCCTTTGAACTGGATTCAAACTCAACAGCCCAAAGACCTGCAACCTCTCTTCCAAATCAAGCACTTTCTTCTAAATTTTCTAGAGGTTTAGTGCTTGATTTGGGTTCCAAAAATTCATGGGACGGTTCAGAAATTGGTTCCCCAGTTGTGAAAAGGTACATTGGTGATGATGAAGAGAGGTGGTACATGTGGTACCATGGAAGGTCTGATAACAATGCATCTGATTTGATTGGGTTGGCAGTTTCAAGCAATGGAATCCATTGGCAAAGAGGAGATGGACATGTTCAATCGAGCAGAGATGTGGGGTTGGTAATGAATTGCAGAGAGAATTGGTGGGCTTTTGACACAGAGAGCATCAGGCCCTCTGAGTTGGTGATAATGTCCAGCCCGATGTACAGTTCTGTTTATTGGCTTTATTACACTGGATTTAGTTCTGAAGAAGTGGAGTTGTTAGAATCTACAAAAATCATATTAGACAAACTAGAATGGGGTTCTAATGACGAGAAGAGAAATGAAAATTACAGTGCTGGCAAAATATTCAAGTCCCTGCCAGGCTTAGCTTGCAGTCAAGATGGTAGGCACTGGGCCAGAATTGAAGGGGATCATCACACTGGAGCTTTGTTCGATGTCGGGTCAGGAAAGGAGTGGGATTCTTTGTTTATTGCAGCACCAAAGGTGATTGTGCACAGCAGCGATGATCTCAGGATGTATTATCATTCATTTGACGTCAAAAATGGGCACTTCGCTATTGGAGTTGCAAGATCGAGAGATGGAATTAGATGGGTGAAGAGTGGGAAGATCCTGGGTAAAGGGACAAAAGGTTCTTTTGATGAGTTCGGGGCCATGAATGCACATGTTGTGAGAAAACAAAAAGATGGCACGTATTTGATGGCATATGAAGGTGTTGCTGCAGATGGAGGGAGGAGTATCGGATTAGCAGTATCTCCAGATGGGATGAAGAACTGGGTGCGGCTTCAAGATGATGCTGTTCTCAAGCCATCAGAAGAAGATGGATGGGATAATAAGGGAGTGGGATCTCCATGTCTGGTACAGATGGAGGGTAAAAGTAGTGAATGGAGACTATACTACAAAGGCATTGGGAAAAGCAGAAAAACTGGAATTGGAATGGCAGTTTCTGAAGGCAGTGAAATTAGAAGCTTTAGAAGATTGGAAGGATTTAATTTGTAAGATACATAGAAAGGCTTGTTATGTAAATAATTTAAAGTATTTCTTTTAATCAAATGTTTATTATTCCTAAGATATCCCTCTCGTGAGAAGAGCCATGAGCTCTCTTATTTTTTAACTTAGATACATTAAATAATTGATTCGACTTTTCACACATCTCAAAAAACTGTTCCATCCAATGGTTAAATAGGGAGAACTCATGACTCTTCTCATGAGAGGAGCTTTACTCAAGAAGTTATTGTTATGCAAACTGCATGCATGGTTTTCCTACTACTGTCCCAGCCACTTGTAGATTACAACTACTATTGGGATCACAATACCTAAGTCGTTTCATATTGTTAAGTGTAATATTTAGAAAAAGATTTCTAAATATTACCTAAGTCGTTTCATATTGCTAAGTCGTTTCATATTGTTTCATATTTTAGAAAAAGATTTCTTTCCAAGGAGGCACAAATCATGTTAGAAACATATTTCATATTGTTAAGTGTAATATTTATACAGAACATTTACTTATCTAAATTTTTTTTGTGCAATCTTTGTTAGTTCCTTTACGAGAGTCATATAGGTAAATATTAATGGCCTATGGCAAAGCTTTAATCCTGAATCATATAAATGTACCACAACACCTTTAATAGATTGTCAAAAATAACAACTGAAAATAAATAAGAGAACGGAAAAATAAAAAACACGAATAATTAACACATTCAGACAACCTAATAAATGCTCAACTATTTAATTTCTCATAGTGGGCACAACGTTAACAAAAACCATGAATCTAATTCATCTAAAGTTGCATTCTCATTTTCGATAGCATACCAAAATTTCTTGAAAATATTTTTAAATTAGTAAAATTAGAGAATAGTATAAGTTGTTTTATGTGAGAAAATATTAATTATATAATAAACTTACTCTGCTTTGAGTTATTTTTCAAACTCTAATTTGCACTAAGAGAGATCATATAATATGCACATTACTCTTGTTGTTTTTATGTTCTTTCTTCTATATCTTTACCACTTGCAAGATTCAATATGATTTTGAACCCACAACTATTTACTAATATAGAGTGTAAAATTGAAGGAATGAAGGTACCTCCGACAGGTAATAAATGCTCCAAAGTGACTTCTAAGCAGTCATAATCTGCATATCAATGTTTGACGTCAGTCACTTTTTCAAAATGCAAGGGTCCCAGCAAAAATGCGTATAAAATCCGGAGGAAGTTCCACCATGAAAATAACATAAAGCATCAGACAATCAACAGTATTAATCAAATTTCACTTTACGCATGCAATATGCATATATCCTTGTTGATTATTTGTGTGTTTTCTCGCACAACTCATGGTCATTTAAAGACATAATTAATAAAAACATATTTACTATTCAGTAAATGGGACTAATATCGAAAAGAATGCATTGGATGGATGCCCTAGCATTGAGAAGGAAGGATGCTTTCAGAGGCGAAAGGCCATAGGAGATACCGTCTTAGGTGGGAAGAGTTGATAACAAAGTGCCAAACAGTCATAACATGTGGGAATCTGCCTAACAGTTAAGGCCAAATCCTGAAGAAAGCTAAAAAGAGCTGTTTGTAAGGCGGAGGGATTCAAAACTCTACAATGCCAGACTTCTACTTAATCTTTTAATTTTATATAAAATATGAATACCAGCTCCATGGCAGAGCTGAGTCCGGTTTACCATTTGCTGGTTTGACCAGGTCCACGCCAATTTGATGACAATGCCTTGAACACGACTAGGAGGGTGCTAAAAATACATTATACTTTCAGGTCTCCTACACTCAAAAGATGATGCATTCCTTTCGAAAGGGCAGTTTTGTCCAAAAAAATTTATTTTAATGTTCCATAAAAAAATAGGAAATATGTAATTAATGAAAGTTTAATTATCATTCTTAATGACCAATGAGGGGAGCGACTATGCAGGGACAGTCGCCTTAGCGACTGCCCCAAGCAGTCCTCATGTCTACGTTTTTATGTGCATAGTACTTAACTGCAAGGGTTCATGTTAAGAATAAGAATGACGACAATGATTTGTTTATTTAATAATTTGATATCATTTGCTTGTTACAGCACTGGATCATCCGTCATCATTCCTACCACCATAGCATGGACTTTTTTTTGATAGGTGCAGAGGCTTGTGCCAGCTACAACTTCAAGAAAAGTATATGTAATTTCAGTACCAAACTTAGTCTTCTTGAATATTAAATAGATAGGGTGATTGTGCCAGGATAGATATCTTTTCAACTGGTGGGAAAAACTCGAAAAAGACAAACCTGACCTTGGAGTAAAAAAAAAAGAGGTCCACTGCCCAGTGCTTCTCCCATTTACACAGGGTGTTGGGAGGGGAAGACTACCGATAAACCTAAGATTTGGTATTGATTTGCACAAAGTGGTTACATTTAAATAAGAATTCACATTTTCACACTTGGCATCTCAAGTTGTTAACTTTGTACCAGATATGGCCTCTTAGTCTGGTGTCTAGAGTCTGCAACACAAATAATTTTTAACTTAATCATTAAGAAGTTTTCCTTGTACTAATACACCAAAGAGTCCTACACCTCCAGTGTTATTTCCTTTATAATGCGCCCAAACACTGACAGAGCCTTGACAACACATAATGGCAGTGAAACATTACCTTTGAGTGAAACTTTATCATTGATCATACAATTAAAAAAGCCAACAATGATCCAATCTATAATCTTTCTTAAACTTAACAATCATCATCATCCTTGCCTTGATCCCACATGAATTCTATGTCTCCACTCTTTTCTATTACACATCATATCGCCCACTTTTTTAAAATTTTTATAAGTCAATTAATAATCTCATCCGTGTTAATTTTGGTCACCCTCTCCGTCTCTTACCTTCTTCCTTGATTGACTAGCACGTGATTAAGTCTCCGATGCATGTGCCCAAATCATTTAAGTCCACTATCACGCCTAATTTTTCTCTCATACCACTATCACGCCTAATTTTTTTCTCACGCTTTCATTAGTAGCCCTGTCTCTTCTACTCATTCCACTCATCCCTCTTAACATTCTTATTTCCGCTACATGAAGGCGTTGTTCTTTAAACATGCCTAAAAAATGTCATAATTCATTCCCCAAAACTATAGTCAAATCCCATGTTGAGCAGCCCTATCAGGATATAGTTTTTTTTAGGGCACTGCATTGTTAAATCAGACCACAATTACCATTGCTCTTCCTTAAAACCTAACGCAAACAAGTGGCTGTGCGAATTATCTACTGGCCCCAATACTGCGTCGTGCCATATTTCCCCAAAATTAATCCATTTGATAAATGAATTATACAAATTTTAGCATTGTTATGTCAAGAAAATATTCTGACCAGTTGGGGAATTTGTGGATAATTAGAAGATTAATGAATCAAAGATTATAAATTGTTGGGTAATGAACACTTGATGAATAATTTGGTTTTAGTGGGGTGAATTTACAAATAATTAATACTTCACTCGTGGATTTTATTTTTAGAATATTTACGCATTGAAATAATTGAAAATATAATTAAGGACCAAAAAAAAAAAAAAAAAAAAACTTGTTCCTTGAGGCTTCTTTGATACTACTGAAGTTGAAAAATAGTCTTTCAACAACTTTTCGAAAGCATTAAATAAACAGATGATCTCCAAAAAGAAACAAGTATTTTGCTTAAATTAGGTGATACGAGAACCATCAAAGCCAGTGATGAATTAGATAGGGTTCATTTACTGATCCAAAATCAACATACAAACGGTCTATTATAAATGTGTGTGATGTAAAAACACCCACTAACATATACATACATACATATATATATATATGACAACGTGAATCGGAAGAGGTGGTTTACCATTTTAATCGGATGCTGATGATGGTGATTGTAGCGGGACACCATAGCTGGTAAGCTCAAATGGACTCCAAATCCCGGCAAAGGAAAAGGTAGAGCGAGAGTGAGAGTAGGAGGATGATAGAGCCATTGAAGTCCCATCTCTCTTTTGGATTCTTACTAATTACTATTGACTATCGAGTAATGGCTTATTTAATATTTTAAGAGATAGATAGATATATATATATATTTATATATAATTTTTTTTTAGGCACCTCCAATGGACTATCCATTCAGAATCTTTAAATTTGTCACATCAGTATTTTCCCATAACCACGTCAGCATTTTTTATAGCCACGTCAGCGTTTTAGAATCTCCAAAATTTAGCTATCGGATGTACTCCAATAGTGCATTTTCGCTCTCCAAAAATTTTAATATTTTTTAAATTTTTAATAAATTTTATTTTTTAATTTTTTCCTAACGGCTATATTTTTAAAACGGCTATATCATAAAAAAAAAAATTTAAACAATAGAATATTTATTATTAAAAACAATACGATACGACATAAATTTAAACAATACAATAAAAATAAAAAACCAAAACAATACGACTTGAATTAAAAACATAAAACAACTAGAAAAAATAGAACAATCATATGGAATGCTTGAGATAATCCTATGGAAGCTTGAGTTGTCACGTGCGCGTATAGATGCCAATATTTCATTTTGGCGTAATTAGCTGAGATACTCCTCGGATCCGAGACACGGGTTGATCAGGCCCAGGCCCAGGCCCAAACCCGAGGGAATATCAAACAATTAATATTTTATAATGAACACGGAATACAAAATAAATTAAGAAATGAAATTAAAGCTGGAAGGAACTAAAAATAGAATTCGCAAAATATTATAATTATTAAAATCCATCAAACCCAAACTCCAAAACTCCAAAACTCCATCAGTTTACAACTTGGGAATCCATCTCTAGTGGACCCCTATTAAACATCCAAACGGAAGATAGAACAACTGTAATAAACGTCCAGAAATAATACAATAGAGAGAGCCCTACATCGTCGGAAGAGTGAATAGAGACCTCTGCTCAGTACGAACACGTCTAAGCCTGGAACTGTTGTGTACCTGAAAAATAGAAGTGGGTCAGGCCCACGCGCAAGTTCTATACTATTACAATCCAAACAGAGGCCCGATATGCATGTACATCCTAAACAATTCAACAATAGCTAATAGTCCGTAAATATATATATATAGTCACACTAAAGGACTCTCACTGGACTATAGGCCGGTCTCAACCTGAATAGAGGTAACATGCTAAAACGCACACGAAGTGGGCATATGTACATATACCTAAACAGGGTACACCTCCAACCATCGTAGCCAGCTACACATCCCGATGCATATACGCTCCCTAACCATCGATCCTGAGGCTCAAGCTTATACCTAGCCACCTTTGTGCTTCTTCCAAGGCTGTTGTCCTTGGAACTTGCCTTTGTCATTCTGCCGGTGACCATTGCCATTCCCCTTTTCAGCTGACTGATTAGTAGAGTCTTTATCTCCCCGCTTCTCACCACGAGCATGTCTGATGTCCATAGTCAACTGATACTGTTGTAGAACGGCGTCTACCACCTGAGCATAGGTAGTATAGGCTGGACTACCTGTAATAGCTCTCTTGATAGACCACATCAGTCCCTTGACAAAACTGTTGCGCTTCTTCTCCTCTGTATCCACCTCCTCCAGTACAAAGAGAGACAAGCGTGTGAACTGCTGCTCATACTCCGCCACTGTCATGTTTCCCTGCTGCAAACTTAGAAACTCGGTCTTCATAGCTGCCCTGACTGCATAGGGAAAATATTTCTCATCAAAGCGAGCACTGAACTCATCATAAGACAATGTCATCCTCTCCTCTGAGGTGGTAACTGACTCCCACCACTGTAGTGCATCCCCAACTAGCTTGAAAGTAGCAAGCATTTGCTTCTGAACCTCCGTGCACTGAACCAAATGAAGATGACGTTCAATGTCCTGTTTCCACTGGTGAGCTGTTCTCGCATCGGTTGAGCCTGAGAACACAGGTGGACTCCCCTTTGTGAAAGAGCTCCTAGCCTTTCCCCAAGAATCCGTCTGAACCATTGGTGCTGGTACAGGTGCCGGCTGTACCTGAGGCTGATTTCGAAGTGCAACTGTTACCCCAGCCTCTATAGCCCGAGCAACGAGGTCATTGAGGTGAGGAGGAATCTCTGGATCTCTGACCTGGTCCAGAGTCTGTTGAACAGTCTCCTGTTCCTCCTGAAACTGATCCATGTCATCTTGAAACCCAAGCCTTTGCTGCTCTTCCTCCATTTGCTGACACCGTAGGAGATATTGTTGCCTACGTGCTGTTCTCCTTTCCTTCCTAGTTCCTTGCATGTTCTGTCCATTTCTAGCGTTAACCATCTGTTAACACGAAAAGACAGACGTCAGTACCCTTTCTATACGAACCATAAAGAATACAATGAATCCTAACTTAAGCTCTATTCAAGAGAAAACGCTACGCGGAAGACTTAATACGAAAACATCCTAAAGACACTTGAACCTGGAGTGCTCTGATACCAACTGAGATACCCCTCGGATCCGAGACACGGGTTGATCAGGCCCAGACCCAAACCCGAGGGAATATCAAACAATTAATATTTTATAATGAATACGGAATACAAAATAAATTAAGAAATGAAATTAAAGCTGGAAGGAACTAAAAATAGAATCCGCAAAATATTATAATTATTAAAATCCATCAAACCCAAACTCCAAAACTCCATCAGTTTACAACTTGGGAATCCATCTCTAGTGGACCCTTATTAAACATCCAAACGGAAGATAGAACAACTGTAATAAACGTCCAGAAATAAAACTATAGAGAGAGCCCTACATAGTCGGAAGAGTGAATAGAGACCTCTGCTCAGCACGAACACGTCTAAGCCTGGAACTGTCGTGTACCTGAAAAATAGAAGTGGGTCAGGCCCACGCGCAAGTTTTATACTACTACAATCCAAACAGAGGCCCGATACGCATGTACATCCTAAACAATTCAACAATAGCTAATAGTCCGTAAATATATATATATAGTCACACTAAAGGACTCTCACTGGACTACAGGCCGGTCTCAACCTGAATAGAGGTAACATGCTAAAACGCACACGAAGTGGGCATATGTACCTATACCTAAATAGGGTACACCTCCAACCATTGTAGCCAGCTACACATCCCGATGCATATACGCTCCCTAGCCATCGGTCCTGAGGCTCAAGCTCATACCAAGGCACCATAACAGTACATATATAAAATCCATCCAAAATCCCTGGTATTGCCGCTCAACAAGTAGTTGCCATGACAATACAAAGCCACGGGACTTAACTTTTAGTTAATCCCATCCTTATTCCAAGTAGGTGGGTAATGGTATTATTTTAAAAACCAAACCCATCCTTAGTATGCCACCGTCCCATACCGGTGCCTACTTTCCAATCCTCCAGTAGTCAATAATACCAATAAATCAAGTATATATCAACTAAATTCCAACATCCAACATTCAATGTTAGCAGTGATAAAATAAGCATTGATAAACAGGGTCACAACAACAACATATACATGCCCAATTTAAGTTGTTCCCTTTAGTTTGATATAAAGACAGAATTAATTAAAACTTCCATTTAACACCTTACAAATGACATACAGATATGTAGGGTATGTATCACAAAATCCTAACCTCCACAGTTGATACTAACTGTGATAATGTAAGCATCAAAACAATATTCACAGTATGTATGTAGACATGCTTAATTTATAGTGTTCCACAAAACCGATCTAGTGTTAAACTCAAATCCTCCTAGTATTTAAGTTCCAACAATTGCTATTACAGAAGTTAAGATAGCTATCATCTAGACCCATCCTTCCAATAATTTATACTAGCAGTGGTAAGGAAAAACGTGAACCACAGAACCACAATGCATCCATAAACATGCTTAGTCTAGGTTGAACAAGCATACAACACTACTGTAACTACCAGTTTCATAGCAAAACAGATATCATTTTAGTTTGGTTTAATCTTCATTAATCCTGAAATCATTTAAGAGTGCAAAGAGTATGAAGCCTAAGGGAAAGAGTAAGGATAGAATCTTACCTCAGAAACTTTTGTTCAAAGTTTCAACGTCGTCTTCTTAAAAAATCCCGGCGAGTTCCAAAACCCGGTTACTGTTTACGGGTACGAAACATTATTCCCGAACTCAAAATCTGATCTCCACCGTTCAGATTGTGCGACACTGAGTCATGAACCTATCCTCCAAATTTTAGCTCGATCGGACCACGGACGACGCAGGATCGGATGTTTGATGAATCTGGGCAGAATGGAAAAAACCTGTGCGACCCAGTTACTGTTCACGAGTACGAATCACTGTTCCCGAGGTCAAACTCTGATCTCCACCGTTCAGATTGTGCGTCACTGAGTCATGAACCTCCCCTCCAAAATTCAGCTCGATTGGACCACGGACGAAGCGGGATCGGAGCTTTGATCAAACCTTGGCAGAATGTGAAAAACTGCGTTTTTCCTTCTCCACTTCCACAAAACGTGTGCTTTGTTTAAAAAAAACCCTACACAGACGTCTACCTTATACTTATAGAGTTTTCCTAAACCCTAGGTTCATTTAAGTCCAACTCACAATCCTAACCGGCCCATCTAATTAACGTAGAAACCTACGACGGCTATAATATAAATCCCTAATTTATACTGTAATTAAAACCTTAGTTAGATGTATTTACCTAATTACCCTATTCACCACTAAATACTTAACAAATAATCTAATTGAACAAAATAATAATTAGTAAACCCAATTAAACCAAATAAGACACACATAAAATAAGACACACATAAAATAATTAAACCAATTACACTTAAACCATTAATGCCAATTAAATAATTAAAACACTAACAAGTAATCCCAATCAAATAACTAAAAATAAATATCATTTAAATAAATTAAATCACCACAAAAGAAATAAATTAAATCACCACAAAAGAAAACAATTAAGCACCTAATAAAAAAATAATGACACATAAGCAAGTAAAATGCACTTAAATAATAAATTAAATACCATTAAATATCAGGAATATCCTTTTTAAAATTAGGGGTATTACATTAGCCATGTTTTCCTGCCTTGTGTTGGCATCGATTCTGGATCTTTTGCATGATTAACATCTCTTCAGCTCTTTGTTTGTTTTC